AGTTATTAAAGTTTAAAAGTGCACAAAGACTTTATGAAGATCCTGTATATGGACACTGCTATGTGGCTACTGCTAATTTTAATTAAACTTCTGTAAACCTTTTAGTTGGTTTCTGACAACAGGATACCACATCTTAAGCCAGTGTAAAGCAATTGAAAGATTTGTGGAGCACTGATTAAATCTTAATTCTTTGCACAGTCTCTGAGAAGGAAATGGTTATATACATGCAAATGCTTTCTTTCTCCTTTCGACTGCTGAGAAGTCTCTTGCAAGGAATTTGTTAAAAAATACACTACAGAAGCTTTTGTTGTATTGTGAAAGAGATCAGATTACACTCCACTTGTCCTACTTCTTCACAAAATAAGTTTCTATCTTTAATTACCAATTTGCAACTCAGACATTTATAATTGGCCAATGCAAATTAATGAGACTGTTAAGGAATTGTGTTTTAAGGAATATATTTTCTTGAAATAAGTCAACTAATGAATCTTTGTGAATATGAAGTGCCATTAAACTAAAACATACTGCACTGCATATTTTAACTTCTAAAATACTTTTATAGCATTTAATATTTTGAAGGAAGTATGAACTGGATTCCCTGGTTTGTCATTTTCATGCTCTACCTTATGTATTGAATAATGCTTTGTAATAATAGGTTTATTCGTAGTCTTCAGTAATTTGGACCTAATGACTTTTGTGAATTTCATTAATTCTTTTGCCAACTTCTGGAAAACTTTAGGCATCTTAAATTTAAAAGGTAATGATTTTAAGATTTGAAAAAAGTAAATAGTCTGGGTAGTAGCCCAGTGATTGTGTTAGTCTTGGCTGCTACCACGTTTTTTAAATGCATAACTACCAGTACATTAGAAGGAATATAGAAGAATTTTGCAGCTAGGTATAAAATGTTTGGCTTGAGCATTTGGAGAAATGTGGAAGACTGTTCAGTTTTCTTATTGGATGACTATATTAACTAGTTTTTTCCTATCAAATTAAAATAGTTTCTTGGCTCTTTAAATATGAGTTAACTCTGTTTTGCTAAAAATATTTAGTTCTGTGCCTCAGTCCACATTTTGAACATTTTCTTTGTAACTGAGAACTGGAAATACAAATACTTTTAAAAGCTGAAGTTCAGACTCTACAGCACAATTTGGTAGCATTAGGTATGCCCCACAATGGCTGATTATCAAGGTGTTTAGCTATTCATGATCATCTTGTGAGTTTACATGACATCTTTAGTAAAAGTATTTTTTTTTCTTCTCACTAGAGTGTATACAAATGTGACTTCCTAAATCTTCAGATTCAGCAACCTCTCCAGTTGGCACAAGATGCTATAGATGCCTTTCTTAAACAGCTGAAAAATCCTATTGATTCTCTACCTGGAGAACTCTTCCATGTGGTGGTTTTCTCACTTCTCCTTTCATACTTTCCATCACCTTATCAACGATGGATATGCTGCAAGAAGGCCCATGAACTTCTGGTGCTGAATGGCTTGTTGCTTATTATCACTCCTGACTCCTCCCACCAGAATCGCCATGCTATGATGATGAAAAGCTGGAAAATTGCCATAGAATCACTGGGTTTTAAACGTCTCAAGTATTCAAAGTTTTCTCATATGCACCTAATGGCATTTAGGAAAACTTCCCTGCAAACAACAAGTGACTTAGTTAGCAGGAACTATCCAGGGATGCTGTATATTCCACAGGATTTCAACAGTGTAGAGGAGGAAGAATATTCTAACACTTCCTGTTATGTCCGATCAGACACAGAAGATGAACAAATAGCTTACGGTTTCATGGAGCTTCCTGAAGCCCCTTATGACTCAGACTCTGGAGAAAGCCAGGCTAGTTCTATCCCTTTCTATGAGCTAGAAGATCCTATATTACTTCTAAGTTAATATAACATTTGAAATGCCCTTTAAGTCAAAACTTTATCATTTAACTAATTTCGCTATACTAACATGGGCTCAGTACATAAAAATGGTTTGCATAGATAAAATGCAACGGTTTACAGAGTTTGCTATTTTTTTCTATCTTGAATTTTAAAATTTATTCTTGTATAAAGGTGAAGAATACAAGTTTTATGCAAATGACTTGTCATAGCATAAATTCTTGTTACGTTCTTTAGGATTTGTATCACTAAATTTTTCCAGAAAGGTACCATTCTTTTCTTCAGTGCTGTGAAGTGTGTGAATTCTATTTAATTTGCTAAATGTCTTGTTTTGCTATTTTAAATGCTTATTACAGTTGAAGCTTAAGACACTGGAGTTGGTGGACTCAGTGTATGTAGGAAGGAAATAATTTGCACTTTGATAGTTAAATGTGCAGATAGTTCGGAGTAAGATGTTGGGTTAAATTTGTCCTTTTTTCTCTTTAACTGAACAAAGCATTTGCAGAAAGCTGTTTCATTCCGGTTAAGCTTGGGCTGAAGAAACTAATACTTATACATCTGGCTTTACTTATGTTGCACTTTCTACAAGTTTGAGGTAATGGCAAAATGCAGGGGGACATTTTCTTCTCAATATGCATTGTAATGTCTAATTGCATAAAGAGAGGTTAGGCAGACATGCTGACTAGAGACTACCCCAACAAAAAACTATGGTAGATCTAGACAATCTTTTTATCACTTCATTTGGAAAGTTTGGGTAATTTTATGGTTTTGGTAGCACTAACATAGCAGTATTGCCCATATTGCATATTCCACTCCCCAACCCCCTTGGAAATCATCTTTGCATAATATTTTAGAGTAAAAAATTGAAGGTGAAAAAGATCAGTTGTATTATTTTTTTTAAATCTTTTACAGATCTTATTTGCAGAATTCCCAAATTGCATAGTTATGACAGCTGGCTGACTTTTATAAATGGTGAGGCCTAATTCTACGGCTACCTAAGGAAATATGCACACTTATTTGAGTAGTCACTTTGACCACTCACTTGAGTTCCGTTATACATAGCCTTAAGTGTTTGCAAGATTGAGGCTTTATGTAGTAAATATAGCATTTTGTTAAAAAAATTTAATTATAGTCAAAAAGTTGCTTTCAAATTAAGCAGCTGAGAGAAAAATCTGCTCTGTAAACATGCTGAAATAAACTGTATAAATCCATAAGAAATCTGTACCTTGCAGACAAATACTATTTAGAGGTGGAAACAGATGCTCGGTTTATAAGTACTGGGGGGAGGGGTGTTTTGTTTTGTTTTTCCCTTCAGTTTTTTTGTTTTGCTTTTTTAACATTCTTCCTCTTGGCAAAACTTAGACCTGGATGCCCAAAGTTTGGGTCTTCAATATTTTGGGGTACCTAAAAAAGCGACACAAATTAGATGCCAAAATGTGGATTTAATATCCTAAGAAAGAACACGCATTGAAAAATGTGGTCCAGAAGTCCTAGGTAGGAAAGTATTAGTTTCCTAATGATTACAATAAAAACTTCATAGGTCATGTTATCAAACTGTAGTCTTGTATTCATCGGCCACAAATTAGTGGGTAAACCTTTTCTAATATGGATTCTTCAAGTGGTTCTTTTAAAGACAATACTTAAGTTTCCACTGGAATTTCACAATTTGCTGTAGTTGTTTTTTCTTTTTAAAGACTGTATATTCTAGATAGCTGATCCTATTTACACTAATATTTTCACAAACTATATTAAGTTTGTTTAACATAAGCTTGTTGTACCTTTTGCACATCACATAAGGAAAATCCCCTACACAACCAAACTTGATTGCTCTTAAATGGGAGTGATAGGTAGTTGGAAACTAAAGAAAGTTATAATTAAAAATGGAAAAATTTTAAGACTAGATGTAAGCATTATGAATTAAAGCTCATGCTGTTTTAAGATATTGTAAGAATTTAACAGGAAGCTACTGATTTAAATGAAATTAATGGTATATTTTCAAATTAAGTTACATTACATAAATTAAGTACAACTTAATGTTCATATCTAGTGCTTAAAATACACTTTCATTAAATTTAAGATGCCTAGCAGTCAAAATCCCCTTCCCAGTTGAGCCCTGCTGGAGTCAGTGGTTATATTAAAGCTAAAATGTTGGTGCTATAAATTCTTAAGTGTTTACACAAATTACTGATTCTGCTCATGCTCAAGTGTTCATGGCATATTTCAATTGGTATTTTTAAAAAGCTATATAAAACGTATTTACTGTCTAGCATTAATGTATTGATATAAACCTGCACATGTGGTTTGATTCATTCGAAGAGTATGGCTAAGAATTCAGACCAAGACCACCTCAGTAGAAATAGCTTAATCTTTGAACGTAAGAATTCAGCCTGTCTGGCAGCTTGTGACAATGTTTTTGTGGTTCAGGGACTTCAAATGATCATAAAAACTCTGGTTCTTTTGCTGCCCAATCTAAGTATCTTAATTGCTTTCTGGATGTGGGCGAGTGTGTGCGCACATGTGTTTTTGGGTGAAGAAAAGGGGCTTCCTGCTATTTCTTCAACCACCCGTGATGGGAGAGAAATATCAGAAACTTCTAGACAAACAGCTTTGGTTCAGGAAGAATGTATATATTTTGAAACTCCTCAAAATCATGACTGGATGAAAGATGATCCCCATACTCTAGGTGTCAGGAAAATAGACATACCATAATGTTTTGGTTGCATTTTGTTGTCTTTATTTCACTCCTTTTTGTGAACAAAGCACATTTATTAAAAAATATTTTTAAAGCGTTTTGTGAATTGTGTTCCTTGGGGGATAATGAGGGTAAATATCAACATTTTATAAACCCAACAATTGTAGTAAAAATACAAAATTTTAGTTCTATATTTCATTTTTATACTTCTGTTGTTCTATCAAGAATCCTTTTCCATACCTCCAAAATAATCAAGCTGAGATCAACATAAAACCCTTTCTTTTGTGTATCTATTTAGCATGTCTCCCTTGGTTGTTCCTTTTCCCACTGCAAGCTGGGATATGTTCTGCACCCTCCCCACTCTGGTGCCCCCCCCCCGAAGCACACTGGCTATACTTATACAGAAAACTGGGCTTTGAATTAACATCTTCCTTCTTTGTACTTGGAATAGCTTTCATAACCCATTGGGAATATCCCATAAAGATTGATTACGTTTTCCTTATTATTTTTCCCTCTCTCATGTGAAGCAATG